AGAATTGGAATTTCTAGTTAAGASAAAAATCAACACATCCCTCAACCACAGGGTGCACAAACAAATGCTTTTTAAAAAGTCCTTTATAAAATGATAAACAAATCCACTCCACCTACTTGTTTATTCAGTTATCAATGGACTCGAGAGCCAAATCTGCATTACTGTATTACTAACAGTAGTCTGTTGTATGGTTCTCAAARTTACAGCACTGAGAATTTGTTTTGCACAAAAACACGATTTTCAAATCATATAGTGTTACATTAAAAATTTCATTACATTTTGAAGGGTTTTTTTTGAGATATGTATGTCTCGTGATACTTTTTAGTTTCTTAGATTTAGCAACAGACTTGGCAAAAACCACAATGTGTTTACCTCAGAAACTTGGAAGCTAAACCAACTGTCAGAACACAGGATCAGTTAGTAACTTCCAGACGAGTTTTTTACTAGTATTTTACCTTCAAACAAAACCATTAACTGAAGCCATGGCCTGAAGCAAGGCAGACTCTACTTGTAACAGAATTAACATCACTTAAGGCCCTCAGTTGTCACTTCCTTTAAAGGGGTTRCTATATCCCTGACACCAACTGCGTATTTTAGACAGACTCTGCAAGGTTGTTTTTCCGTCAGAAGACTCTTGACAGAATATCACTTCTGATCTGAAGTTTCCAGTAATAATAACGAAGATGCACTATTTTTGCTGTTTATTTCTWTCAAGGAACAGGATGAGAGAAAGATAAGATGAAAGGGAAGCAAAATAAGATTCCTTTTTGTGCATCAAAACAGTAATTAGTCATTTAAATATCTTGTGACTTGATGCCTGAATATTAAATCTCTTTGATTGCATTTTTCCCTAGGGAAAGTTATTTAGTCAAGAGGAGAGCTCTTAGCTCCAAATATGTGTTCATTTAAAATTACATTTATGCAAAACTGAAACCAATGTTAGAATTCTATTTATAAAAGATTATAAATGCTTATTCACACTAGTTGAAGAAACCTCTTCTCCAGAATCTTATGGATGCTTTGCCATCTGTCTGTAATAAAAACCATATATCATTTTTGGATTGAAGGATTTTYTTCCCTAATACAAGTCTTCAGCTACATAAAACAAATTACCAACTTTCCAAAATCCTGCATGGCCTGAAGTTTTGGAAACAGAGCATGGTAGGATATTAAACCTATGAGGTTTGCCACAACTTAAGTCACAGAACTGTGTGTGTCTCTTGACAGCACTAATATAAACTGAAGAGAAACCTTTTCAGGACAACAAGAGGGAAGGATGGAAATTCAACAAGTTTGCAGGAACAATAAGGAATATGAATTTAACATCAACTGTTTTATGTAAGAAGGTCCAAAAAAGATTCAGAAAGACACCTGTGTTTATGGATGGCAAACAAATTTCTCCTGGGGGGTGTGTGCTGSTGAGAGTATATACATATTCAAAACAAATGCAGGAGCAAACTTCAGCTGTGGGAAAAGTCTACTTACACCTAGAGCTAACCCTTGAAACTAAATTTAGGAAACAAAAGCATCWCATTAACCACAAAAACAAGTCTTGTAATTAACGTTTAAAATCTTTCCCTTGCCCGTGACTACTTTTGCTCAGGTAGCACATACATCTCTGGGTTTAGGGAGACTATACAGACACCTGTAACTGCCAAGCAAAGACTAAAAGAGAAAGACAGCAACCTGACATTTCTACATAAATTRATGCATGCTTGCACTCTCGCTTGAACCGAGAAATAAACTCAGCAAGTGTCATAGCAAACAACAAAATTTAAAATTCTGGTAAAGAGGAAATTAATAGGTGCTTTCTCTCATATTAAGAATCTACAGGTATCAATTCAGAATATATTTACTGTGCCTAAAAGAAAAACTAGTAATCTAAGCACAGCTACCTACTGCTTAAAAACTCAATGCATACCATGCTAAAGTTTTAAGCATCTTCACAAAAATAAACCCAACCAAAACAATGCGATAAAAAAACAGCCCACCAATTAAAAAAATAAAAGACAAACCACAAAACCACCACATTTTAGCAGATGTTTAAAGCAACTTATGACTTGCAAAAGGACTTGGAAATACTAAATTACGTTCCAATGGTAGGGAGTTATGCTAAAAAAAAGCCTCAGAAAGTGCTAACTGTATGGACAACAACATATAAAGTGCATTACTCTCTACAAACGTTTCTGCCTGAAGACATTTCATAAAAATTCACAGAATCCATTAACTTAGAGCACTAATGCCACAAAGAGGAAACTCCATTTCAAGATGGTACCTCTCTTAAACTAAATGTAACTTAAAGTTGCTACATCGAGAATTACAAACAGAAACTTTACAGCCTATCACCTTCAAAGGACAATGGTATTCTGACAGCCAGAAAAACTCAAGACTATGATGAACTGTCACAGAATCACTGAATATTCTGAGTTGGAGGGCACCCACAAGGATCATGTAGTCCAACTCTTAAGTGAATGGCCCATACGGGGATCGAACACACAACCTTGGCATTATTAGCACYCTGCTCTAACGAGCCTAGCTAGTGTCACCTTTGTTCTCGGCACCAAATTTCAAAACCTGATTACACAACTGTATTTTTACMGTACTTCCCTATTTGCCGTCCTTAATRCAGATGGGGAAACCTCACTATACTAAAGAAATAATTAAAGATTTACAACACTGCAAATAACTCACTTCAGAGCAGGATCTTCAATAATAACAGTTACAGCGTGTTTTACCTTCAGCAATAACAACTACTGATTGTTTTAYCTATCTCTTGGAAAGTGCTGAGTGAATGATTAAATGACCCTGAAGTTCAAAATGGTTTAAAGTTTCATCCTCCACTGAGACAGCAAAACCGAAGTGGAAGCGATAGACTTTCAGCTTCCAATACCGATTTTCTTACTGTGAGTAGTGCTTCAGAACCGACTTTCCTAGAGACTATCACAACTTTATTTACATCGCGTCRGTCTGAAGGCACTTGCAGGGTTTTCAAGTAAAGTAAACCTAAACAGAAGCCCTTCCACTTCCCACCTCTGTCAGCGGAAAAAGAAAATGCATGGGCCCCGCCGGACCCCGCTCCCCAGACGGCGGCCGGGCCCGCGCGCGCTCCCGCCGCCGCGCGCCCCCCGCGGCGCCGTCCGGCTCGGCAGCGCCCCCCGGCGGGGCATTGCGCGCACGGCGCCGCCGCCGGGCCCCGTCCGCTCCTCGCGGCTGCCGCACCAGGCCCGGCCCAAGGACCGAGACACAAAATGGCGGCCGCCCCGCTGTGTCACGTGACCCCCTTTGTGCCTTTCGGGGCCCCGCGCAGGGGCCGCCGGCGGCCGCGAAGCACGGGCGGGGGGCGAWGGGGCCGTGAGGGAGCTCCGGGGGAGGGCGCGGTGAGGGACGGCCGGGCTCGACGCCTTCCCGCCCCGGGTGTCCCCCCCCTCCCGGCGGGCGGGGAGAGCGGGGAGAAGATGGCGGCCATTTTGTGCTTGCGCAGAGGCGAAGGTGGGGGCCCGGGTGCGGGGGGGATGGTGGGACCCGGCCGAGGGGGGGGGGGGTCTCACGTACCGACTCCTCTTCCTTCTCCATGCCCGTGGGCATCTGCGGCACGGCCCGGTTAATGGAGGCATATTCGGCCAAGTCAGGCAGGTCCTCGCAGCGGAAGACGGGCAGCGGCTTGGACGCGTCCAGCGCCCGGGCCCGGAACGACAGTTTGCTCATGTTAGGCGGCGATGGCGGCTCCGGCTGGGAAGGGGGGGGCGACAGCAAACGCGCTCCGAGCTGAGAGCCGGACCCCGCCGAGCGATCTCATGGAGGGACCGGGGCTCCCCCGGCGGGGCGGGGCGCACTCCGACACGGGGCCCGGCGGCGCCCGCTGGCGCGGCTGGGCTGGGCGCTGGCTCCGCTCCTCCGCCGCTCCGGTTCCGCTCAATACGCCACGGCCAACATGGCGGACATTAAACCTCGACTGGCCGCCTCTTTCAGCCAACCCCAGCGCCACAGCCATTCCCACACTGCATCGCGCAGGGCGCGGGCACGGCGCCGCCCGGGGGGAGCGCGCGCGGCGCGGGCACGGCGGCGCGGGATCGGGAGCGCGGGACGCTGCGAACGGCCCGAGCGGGATCGGGAGGGAGAGAGGGCTCGGAACCGCCGGAGAGGGATCGGGGCGCTGGAATCGGGGGCGCAGCCGGGAGCAAGGGGGGCTTTAATCCGCGTCTGCGGCACCGCTCCGCCGGCCGGCCGCCGAGCTGTGCCGCGGAGCCGCGCTCCGCTCCTGCCGGGGTGAGGAAGTTGSGGCGGCCCCCAGCCCCTCACCCGTGGGGGAACCTCCCCTGCAGCCGCGCCTGACCCTGACAGCTCCGGGAAACCTGGGCGAGAGAGCCGGGGGGTGTCGGCCCCGACYTTTCCGGGCTCTCGGGGACAAGACCGCGGGACAGCGGCGCCGGGCACTGAATTCACTCCGACGCRGGCGGGCTGCAGTGCCCCGAGCCGCGGCCGGAGCGGCACCCCGCGAGTGAGCGGGTCCAGCTGCGGGGAGCGCCCCTCGCCTCAGGGCCCGGCCGCGGCCCCGCAGCCGCCCACCGTGCGCTGTCCTAGCCCGCATCGCCGAACCGAGTTCGCGTCCGTGCTAAATGGAGGGAAACACAGGCACCTGCCCGAAAACGGTGAAGAACCGTAAGAACCGGACACCTCCACAACGGCACTTCCACGCCGTTTCTCTGAGGTTTTCAGAAACTTAGTCCAGCAGCGAAGTGCAGACACGTGAACTGGTTTAACCCTTGCRTGGACTTAAGTTATTATCAGTGACCCGCTGAAGCGAGCTCACCCCAGGCAAAGGGTGGAACTCACTTGAGCATGTCTGATTAGGGAAGCTCGTTTACATCTGAGTGAGTCGATTAAATGGATGCACTGCTCGGCTCTAAGCAAGGGATCGGAAATGCCGAGTTCCCCCGGTCTCGGTGCTCTCTGCACAAGCCGCCCCAGGGCATCCCAGCGCGGCCACAGGAACGTCTGACTCCGTTCCCGCCAGGCCAGGGCTGCAGCCACCCACTTAAGGAACTCTACATGCTCACGTATGTGCTTACGCCAGGTTATAATGTAATTTTAGTTCTGTAGTAAAATCCATCTTACTGAAGTTATGCTTATTTTCTTTTAAAAATGCGAGATAGTTGTGTTTTGATTGAATTTAAGTGTCCCTCCATTTTTAATGCAAAATACTGTAGTTTTTTACTGCCACATAAGAATCGGTAGACAGAACTTGTTCCTTATCACATACTGCTCTTGGGTATGAACTTTCAGAAATACAGCATAGATAAAACAAAAAAAAAAAATTAAAAAACCTTAGTTTGTTTAGCAAATAACTTTTAGAAATTATCTCTATAACAGAATCAAAAGCAATTTTTTCAATTGCATCACTTCTTTAATAATACCACCATCCTCAGTCTTAAACCACTTCTAGACACTAGATGAAATATTACTAGATGCAGTTGTTAACAGCAGTTTCAAGCCAACTATTTTCATGTCTGTTTTCCCMCTAGGTTTCCTAAACTGCTTAAACTGCAAGTCATTTGGCTTCATCACCTCTGAGACAATAAATTCTACCTGTACAGCACAGGGGAACGCAGTGAAAGACAGCTGCTAGGGAGAATGAGACTTTTTTTTTAGGAAGGTTTTTTTTTTTTTTTTTTTTGGGGGGGGGGGGTTTTTTTTTTTTTTTTTTTTTTTTTTTTTTAAGGACAGTAGCATGAACTAAGAAGTATCATTGTATTCATTTGTATTTCGGTAATTACATCAGAACCAAATGTTTAAACATGCATATTGCTTTTCACTCTTAATAGTAAAGCTTAAAGCGCACACTAGCTAGAAATACAATCCTTAAATAAATTGCCCCTTAAACATCTACACACATTTCCACAAATAGAGAATAATTTAGTTTATCCAATTAGCAGACAAATAAGGTGCTGAAAAAAACCACCCAAAAAGATCACAATATGCCATCATAGATTAACTTTGACTTAAATGAAAATTGAAACACCTGGCAGCTAAGCAAAAAATAAGACCATTAAATACAACTCTCCACTTACACTGATGAAAGGAAAACAATACATAATGAACATCATGAAAAGCAAAATATTGAAAATATCCTGAAMTATAAAGGAAGTGTTCAAACTTATCCTTAATTGACCTTTGCATTTCTAACCCTGCCACAGGCTTGAGAAAAGTGCAGAGCAAGCAGAACAGACAATAACGTTTGGATACAAAGAGGACAGTGCATTAAGAAAAAATTTTGGCCTGAAACTCTTGGACTCATCAGCTTTTAATGTTATGCCAATAAAAGAGTCTGTGTTTAAATATTTTGTAGTAGAAGATTATTAGCCCTCAAAATTGCTAGGAAGGTGAAAAGTGAATCGGAAACAATGTGACATCAGCCTTGATGGCTGTTCTGTAAAAGGTGGTGACAGGAAAAGGTATAGAACATAACCAGACTGATGTTTCCATTTTAGCTTCCTTTCAGTTAGAATAGGCAGGTGTATTTTCTTTTTTTTTCCATTTTATACCTTTTACCAAAATGCTCACATTACATCTATAGACATCAGTGCAGCACTATGACAGTAGCTAAAGGAGAATTGGTATTTTTCATATAATGACCAAAATACTTTTTGCAAGCTCTCAGTAAAAGATCAGTAAATGTAAGCTAATTTGTTGAACCAAAGTGCTATGTGTCTCTTTCAAAAATTGAACTGTAAGGTAAAGTAACTTAAAGAAATATAATGAAAAGACATTTAGAATTGCTGTTATTCTTTTTCAAACTGCTGAAATCATTTGGGATATTTCTTTAAAGCTTTGTCTTTTTATGATCTCAAAGCAATTAAAAGAACAAACTTTATTAAAATGAAAGCACTTTGTGTATCAACTGTATAGCTGATAAATACCATTTCAATATACATTCAAAAGTACTAAATTCAGAATGAGTATTACAAGCAAARATACAACTTGATCCATGCACCTACAGACAGTGGTAGGGGTCTYTTGTGCTCTCATCATCTAAYTCARSTTTGTGAAGCCCAAAACAGTCCTGTGTACTGTTTGATAAGTTTTTACAAATTTCAGTATTTATTTAGTTTTATGAGTTAAAACCTCTCTGAGTTCAAGAAATACTTCCACTCATTTGTTTAAGCATGAACTGTAGCCTTTTGCACATGTGTTTAGTATTGTCTCCCATTCTAGCAGCAATCATCACAAAAGTACTATGCATTAGGTGCACATAGGTTACACACATGTCATTTTTAGTGCCTTCTGGAATCAAGAATTTCATATTTAAAGGATATAAAATTCTAGGAGACAATTATTCAACTTCAAAAAAAGCCTTCTTAAACATTCTTGTTTATTTTTGTATTAGGATTTGTTTGTATTTTTTATTACACTAAACTATACACTGATTTAAATATCCATTAATATTTGCAATTTTATTTTTTCTCACTCTGTGACTATTTTATACCCTGCTTCTAATAACTTTTCATTTATTTGTAGAGAAATTTTGTTAACCTTTTTTTTTAATTGCCATAAGTGCTGACTATTCTGAACTGATAAGAAGCATCAGTGGTCTCTCTCATCACACACACWTTCAGTACTCAAATATTAAGAAATGGCACATCCTGAAGTTACCATAGTTGGTTTCTTTCCAGAATGCCTTACTCTTAGGGATGTTTGGAAAGATACTGSTGATTCTTTTGTTCTGCAGTGAACTTTTATGAATTTTGTATGTATATATTGCTCTTCCACATTTGCTGGTGATGCTACAGTTCAAACTGGCTTCTCAGCTAATTTTCTTGTATGTATTTTGTAACATTTCAGATAGCTACATTATTTTAAATCATCTCAGTGAGCTACCTGGAGTTTGAATTATAATGAGATACATGTATGCAAATATGACACTAAAGGTTCTTCGTTATTTTATAAAATGTCATATTACAGTAGTAGGTAGAGGCATACAGAAATTATCTTAGTAGCATGAAGATTTCAACCATAAATGAACTGATGTAATTCTTAGTGAATTTCACCTTATTTACTTGTATCAACTGTCTGTTTCAAAAGAGATATTAGAACACACATTTAAACAGTTCAGACACCATACTACGAAACTGGTGTAGAACACCTTTGTGATCACTTCTGCCACTTTTTAGAAATAAAATGTAATGTTTCATAGCTTTGGTATCTCAAAGTATGGTATGATATATTCACTGAGTTATTTTAGTTCTCCATGGTTGAGAGGCAATGGGTACAAAGCTTATTTTAAGTTCTCTGATTCATAATTTGAAGTAGTGACCAAATAAATCTCTTCCTCCGTTCTTGACTCAACAAAGGGAGATTAATTTGTCTTTTATATATATATATATATATAT